TCAAACAGAGCAAAAAAAAGTGACAGAAAGTTTCCCTATGTGTCGCACATGCGGAAGTCTCCCACCACACATGCAGGAAGGTGCGTTGTACGTGCTTTTATTGTAGCAAGCTCCAATCTGTCTCCCCTGTTTTCCGCACGTGCGGCTGTGAGCCCCGCACGTGCGATTGTATATCTCGCACGTACGACCATGGGGCCCGCACGTGCGATCACATGCTCTGTTTGAGCAATTCAAAATTCATTAAAAATCTAACTTTTCAAAAGCAAAATAGCCAAAAGGCTCAAATACAACCAAAATTCTTTTCAACAACACAACATAATCATATTAAACATGATTCTTAACCCTAAATAGATTATAACTCCATTTTAGTAATACATGTACAACTCAAACAATTATATTCCATCCAATTCCTCATCTTCTCATGGGTAAGCAAAATAGATACACACACACACACACATATATATATAGAGTTCACAATATGCAAGAATTGAAGATTAGAAGATGAGCCCTCTAAAGCTAACTCAAAATACTTTTAAAATACAAGAATCAACTTTCAATTTACATAAATTTAATGACTCTTGATGATTTCCATGGACATTTTCTCAAACAAAGTCTTTATATCAAAACCCTAACTTATATAAGTGAGAAACTTCATTTAAATGGTTAATGACAATCAATTGAAGGAAGTTTTAGGGTATTTGAGTTGATTTATACTCACCTTGAGTTCCAATCTTTGAACTCTGTTAATTTCTTCAAGCTTTTAGTTGATTCCCCCTTTCTCTCTTTTTTCTCTCCTCCTTTCTTCCTCTCCAGAAGATATTTTATGTTTTTGATTCTAAGTGTTGCCTCTAACCCATGTATCTCTTATACCGATGGCTTAAACTCAAGTGAGCCAGCAAAATCAAGTTTATCTATAGCTAACTTAATTAAATCAATTTAATTCGTTACGAATTAAATTTTTACAAAAATTCATTATATGGCCTAAAAATCATGTTGATCAAAACTGTAAAATCAATTTTGAGTTATCGCGCTTCTAAGGCTTCCAATTTCTAGTCCAAACGTCGCAATTTTAACAGATTTTTCTCACAACTGACAGATATGATTCCATAATCATAGAATTCACATAATTAAACTCAATTTCACATGAAATTTCACATCAAGCATATAATTACACACATAATGAAAGGCTTAAAGCATATAAGAGGATCGGGTTATTACAAACAATTTGAAGCACACAGATGAAGAGATAAAAATATACCGAATGTTGCTAAGAGAAATTGAGCATAATGATAAAGATGATGACGAAGACGAAGATGAAGATGAAGATGCTGATTTTCAACAACAAAATCAGACTGAAAATTTTGAAAAAAGAAGAACAAACATTGATTGAAGAGAAATCCAAAGATGAAACATGGCAACCACATCCACATGAAACATGTTCTGAAAAGAAAAAGAAACCATCCCTTCGAATCACAAGAGAATGAAAGAAGGAAAGTTGACAATGAGCCTGAAGTGGATGAAAATATGGTAGAAGTACTTGCTTTTCAGAAGATAGAAGACGATGTGCTCAAAATGGAAAAGTTACAAATGGAAAATGGCATTCTTCAAACTGCAGATGATAACTTGTTGCAGCAACTCAAGAAGCTAACAAAAGACATGCAAGATCAGCAGAAAACTACAAAAAATCAAATGCAAAGGAAAGATGAAGAAATGAAGATACTCCATGAGAGAATTGCAATCTTGGCTGAGGCAAACAAGTACTCGGAAGAATAACACACACAAGAATAGCCTGCGATGAAGAAATTGGAAACTTCATACGAAGTTTTCAACATCCTACCAAAAAAATCAAGAACAAATTTCATTGCACATTGGGCGAATACAAAGAAAAAGTAACAATCTTCCCTCTTAACTCCTGTAGTTCACTTTTGCCAATTGTTTATCATTAACTCATATTGAATTTATAAGTATCAAATATTCCAAAAAATATTAATAAATTATTTTTCCAACACTAATAACTCTTTTTTCAGGGATGACCTAGTGTGGCAAGAAGCTGACCATGCAACCTATGTCTATTTAAATGACATTGACAAAATATTGAAGAGTGAAGCTTTGGCAGGCATTGTAAGTTAAATTTGTGACTCATTAAAATAACATTTTAGTGTTTGACTTATATTAATTCCGTGTTTTGTTTTTTATTTTCAACATATGTAATAAACGCATACGCAGAACACTTGCTTGCACAAAAACGAGGAACATCATTCATATTCATTTCAAGTTGCCATGTAAGTGATACATAGTATTTGTCATTTTTTCAAATATTTGTGCATTGTTTAATGAAAAAAATTCGTTGTAATCTTCATGGCATCTCATCTATGTTAGGAAATTATTCAAGAAATAAGTTTTATCAGTGTATAACCTTTGTTTGCTTAACTGAGTAATGAATTTTGCAATGCAGTGATAAATTTTGATATGGAATGATAAAATTTTGATCACAGTGATAAATTTACTTAATTTTGTGGTAACAAATTATTTAAGCCTTTCTGTTTATGTTGTGTGGTTGAATTCGTTGTTGTGACTTTATAATACTTTGTTTGCTTAATTAAGTTAAAAACAAAGTATTATAATTGATATTATAATACAAGTACTTCAATTTATCACTATAAATTGCATACTCGCCACCTATTTAATTTGAAAAGGTTTAAATTAACAATATTTTTTTTATTTATATTTGTTAGCACTTGTTGACAGTAAAAGATGAGGAAGCAACAAAGAGAATGCTGAACAAATTGATGCTTGAAGCCATGAAAAGAAGATACCTTCTTTTCCCAATCCACCAAAATTTTCATTGGACAATACTTGTCCTTGACATTGACGAAGGTTCATGGAAATTCTACAATTCCATGAGACCAAGGGGAGCAATGCGTAAAGATCCACGCTTCAATGCCACAAATGAAGTGGTAAAAATGTTTTCACTATCAAACTTACCATTAATCCAATACATCAATCTTGATGCATGCTCAATTATACATCAAAAATTTATACAATAATATATTTATCATTCTTTAAATCCATGGTTTCTCATTAATTGTTTCAACTGACTTTCTAATAAAACAATTATACAAATCTATATGTTGTAGAGAAAGATTATTGACAAGTACGTAAAGGACGAGAAACCAACTCTCATCGCCCTTAATAAATTTCAACAGGAAACAGAGAGAGTCATCAACAGCCCACAACAAGAAGACACTTCGAAAGTTGATTAATATCAAAACACTCTTATAAAAAAAAATGCAACAAAACCAAATTATAATATTTTGTTTTCAAAATGTTTTTGCAGGCTTGATTGTGGAATCATTGTTTGCTATATCATGAGGCAATATGTTTCCAACAACAACATAATGCCTACTTTTTGCAAGGAAGAATGCAATCAATTGAGAGCCAATATATTAACTATCTTCTTGACTGACCAACGAACTACTCAACAACAAATAGTTGATGAAAACATTGATGACTTGCCTCCTCCGCAATAACCAACAGATCTCGAAGAGAAGAAAACATTTTGCTTGGTTGGTTGTTACAGTGTTACAGTGTAACAAAAAGGAAACATTGATTTATTTGGTTATTAGAATGTGAATATTTCATACATTTTGCTTGTTTGGTTGTTGCAGTGTTACCTATATTTTGATCATTTTGGTTCTTACTTTGCTTCAATGAATATTACAATGCTTGGTTGTTATAATGTCAAATTTACGGATAATACACTAAATGAAACATTCAGTCTTTTTCAGTAATATTGTTACCAGATCTTGCTTTTTATATAAGTCTTGTTTTATACAAATTTCATTCAAAATGTTGATTATAATCTCATTATTTGTGTCAAATTTAAAGGTTAATAACAGGTTTGGACCCCTTTATTATTAACATGACAATCTTTTTTTTTCATTCTTTTTGACACCGATAAATTTATCACTGTTCAAACAAAAAAATAGCAACTCTCTCTCTTTTTCTCTCTCTCATTCTTATTTCCCAATTTAAGAAAACAAAACACTATAAAAAAATAATAAATTTACCTAAATTGAAATTAAAACACAAACACCATTACATTGTCCAAATTGAAAATTAAAATACTATTACAATTTGTAGATATTTCCAAGTTTGAGAATGAATGTAAGAACATGCCATTCTGGGTATGACAGTGATAAATTTATTACTATAAAAAAGAACATTTGGTTTGATATGACAGTGATAAATTTCTCAACCACTAACATAAATGTAATAAACCATCAACTCTTCCCATACAATTAGTGGTAAATTTATCATTCTTGAAAATAACAAAATTCAGGCACCCCATTAATACTTGATTGCTTCCTTTAGACAATGGTAAATTTATCACTCTTACAAAAAAATAATCCAACAACTCGCCAGTGATAAATTTGCCACTGTATAAAACACCAAAAATAGTAACTACATTTAACTGAAATCAAATAATATAAATCTGTGAAACTTAATCCTGTAAAAATATCAACAAAAAATATAATTTCTGTTCAAAAAACTCCTTGGTCATTCAATGCAAGTACCAAAATGATATATTTTTCTAAAAATACACAATCATTCAATACAAGTAACACCTTTCAACTCTCAACAAACTAATTCAATTCAAATCAATACAAATAAAGCAAAGCTTCTTTAAATGTTTTTCGATTATGAGTTCACATCTTTCCACACATAATGCACCTTATTCTTTTGATTTCTCCCTTAGAAGGTATTCTCTCCGTTTTTGGACATCCATCCGGTCTCTTACAAAGAGGAGGTAAAACAACGTCATCATCAACAACTACATTTGGCTTCTACATACTTGGAACTAGATAGATAGAATGCGAATAAGAATCACAAAAACTACGAACACGGTAGTAATCATCAAGAAAATAATTCAGATCCTTACCACTCCTCTTTATAGCACAAAAACCATGTTTGCAAGGAGAAGAATCAGTTTTCCACAATCAACAAGAACAAGAACGTTTCCCAATATCAACCATAACTGAACGATCCAATTGGATTTCATAAATGTCATCGCTACATTTCTTAACTATCCATGTCTTTATATTATTAAAAGCTTCTTCCAACTTTTTCTCTACAAAAGGACAAACAATACGATTCCACCTATTCTCAACTTCTCTCCTTTTTTAGAATTGCTCTATTAGTTTCACCTGTATAGCATCAACAAGACTAGTTGAAAACAAATGGAGCTCATCCTAAATACATGAATTAAAAGATTCCGCAGCATTTGTGCACATTTCACCATATCTCCTGCCTTGAAAATAAGTGTTACACCAACACTCATTAGGCAAATCCTCAAGAAACTTCTGAACACTACGACCACAACGACCCTTAAATTCTTCAAATAGCTCATTAAATAACTCAATAGTAGGAGCATATGCACATCTACTAAAAAGAGTAAGCAAATACTCTTTAGATTCACGACTCTTCACTGACAAATAAGTCTTCAAGTTTGTCTTCAAATGCACCAGACAAAAAGAATGAGAAGAAAACGGAAAGATCTCAGCTAAAGCTTTCAACACCTCCATAGCGACCAATATCAAACGCAATATCCCTCCCCGGAGTCAAAATAACAAATAACTTTGACAAGAACCAATGCCAACTGTCATAATTTTCACTATCAACAATGGCAAAATATAACGGATATAAACCTACAAACAAAATATATACACTTTATCAGTAACAAATAAAAAGATTACAAAACAAAAGCAAAATGCAAAGTATATAACATATAGCACCAACCATAGATAAATTTATCACTTTATAACTAGAAAAAATCAATAGCAGCATACAACATATAGAATCAATGCATAGTAAATTTATCACTGTATAAATATAAAAATTTAACAAAAGTATACATCATAAATTTATCACTAATAGATTGACTATTTTATCAATACTCTCTAGTAACAAAAATGATAAAATTATCACTGTTTTAATAATAATAACAAATAGACACAGAATATACCTTTGTTACCATTTTTTGCCATAGTAGCCAATAAACAACCTTTGTGTCTTCTTTTCAAGAAAGTTCCATCAAGCATCAACACAGGCCGACAATACTTGAAACCATGAATACATGCCTCAAAAGCAAAAAACAAGCATTTGAAATGTCTTCCTTTACTATCAAAAAAACACTCACCGGATTACAATCATTAGCGGCATCAACATACCAACGAAGATCGTCAAATGATGATGAATAGTCACCAAAAACAAGACCCCTTGCTTTTTCAACACCCATCCAAACTCGCCGATAAGAAACTTCTGTTCCATAATAGTCCTTGAAATCACAAACCACCTCATTAACCGATGTCAAAGTCTTATTACGAATATCACTCGAAATTAGCCCACCAATCATACTTGAAGTCATCCTAGCATGTTTAACTGTACGAAAAAAAGATCCACAAGTATGAACATCATCAAATTGTTTAATAACAAAAGCTTTACTATAATTTTCCACTCTAGCATGCACACTCCATAAACATCCCAAATCAGCCCTTCTCTTACAATGAACAGTGACACGATCCTTATCATTCTTAACAAAATCAAAATCAAAACCGGAATGAATAGAATACT